CTCGTGCGTGACGTGTCTTCATGGGAACTCACAGAGACGGAGATGATGCGAGCTGTGTCATGTATTAGCCGCTGTCTTTTTCTATTCGAGCCAATTTTTTACAGTCTATGGTTCGTGCCGGTAAAATATGGCGCTAAACACTCAAAATCAAAGTTCCAGTCTGGTAATTCTTGTGTGACAAAAGAACTCTGGCCTCGACTGGACTAATTTGATAAATAATACCAACTCCAGCTAATAAAACTGTCCAGTGCTATCATAGAGTACGGACGTCGCCATTGATATTTACTTTTTTCAATGTCTCACAGATCAACAGCCAGATATCGCGAGAGTAGAAAACGGGTTTATTGTTCGTGGTCCTGACAGTGAATGTCTAATATGGACAGTAGTTAAATGCAATTTATAATCTGTCAAAATGATTCGTGTAATTCTGAAGTTAATGAACATTTTTTATGTTTGTTATACAGATATTTGCCAGTGGTATTTATTTAACCAAAATTACTCGCGCTTTGGGGGCTATTTTTGCTCTGTTAGCTACCTTGTTGATTCTTTTAAACTTTTAGATTTCATTTTCATGTTCAATTGTTGAACGTTGAGTCGATTAATGTCATCTCATTATGACACTCTTTTAACGTATGGCGTTCAAAAAACAAGCTTTTCACTGATTGTTTACAGCTTAACGTAATTTACACCCATAATTCGCGCAAATTAAGCGTCATGGGGGGTAGGAAAAGGGTGAATTGGCGCTACTAAAATAATTATAACTTCAGTTTGACTAAATGTAGTTAAAACTGAGGAAAGTTTTAAATCTTTACGTGTATTCTTTGAATCGTGTATTCTAGACTCATACAAAGGATCTTTATCCATTTTAGAATGTGAATGCTGCTCTCTCATATTTTTTTTTTTTACTTTGATCACAGCACTGTAATAATAATAATAATAATAATAATAATAATATCACAGATGTGCTCTTTGAAAAGGTGGAAAATGTGTTTATTAATACATCACCAGAGGGCAGCAGTCAAGTTGTCAAGTCAACTCGCTTTGAGGATGTAGAAGCGCTTGAAGACAGCAGTTGTGTGCAATGGGCTCTATGCACGGCGGTATTTCCGGTGAAGGTGTAAGGATGCTCGATAACTTCCGCCGATCCTAGAGTCCAATAGCCTGGCTGCGCCCGCCTACGCACTTCCGCTCAATTTCATTTTCCTTCAGTACTGTACAAATGAAATGTATGTACGAGAGTCTGGTAGAACCAGGCTAAGAGTCCAATGCAATACCGAGAATTTATATTGAATTGTATCCACAAGTTTTCGAGGGGCGCTCCTGTAAAAAATAAAGTGGGTGAAACTTCCGGCGAGGCGGCGGAAGTAGCATTCCAATGGTATTTTGTGTGTTAAGTTAGCGAAGAAGCTAGCTGTTTTTCGGAGAATTATTTTACTATTTAAAGACGCAAATCTTTATGAGAGATGTCGTTACGGAGCTCAGGGACATCATGTGCTGTTCGCGGTTGTATGTATAACCGGACTAAACTAATTCAGTGGCTTAAACATGATTGTTTTGAACATAAGCTGAAAACGAAATCACAGTGATCCTACCAGAGCCCGTCACTGATCCTGCCAACGACTGTAGTTTCCATCACCTCCCAAAAGACGACGAATCTTCCTGTGTACATTTTGTTTTTAAATTCTTTATATTTTATAAACTCTCTCAGCATGTGATCAGCTGTTCGCTACTGATGTTACACCTAAACTCAGGATCTAAGCCTGTTGACAGAATACCAAATGTGCCAGTTAATGTATTCTAGTAGCACATTCATTTATAATTTTGAATAAACTCCAAAGCACAATGACTAAGTGTGTATTTTTTATTTTAATTGTTTTTCAGCTCGCACAACTGTCTGTCACCATGCCTTGATGAGTATTGATTATTAATAATGTTATTATAATACTCCCAATCAACTACTGCGGAGGGTAAAGGTACTGTTATTTCACCCTTTTGAATTTGGTTGAGGTTGTGTTCCCACATCGTTAGCTAGTTTGGATCGCTATAACTTAATGACTGTCAACTGTTGAATGAACAAGTGTCAAGCATGTCAAATCGCGCTTTGTTTACTTCCAACCGGAAGTCGCGCCCACTTTTGACGCAAGGCATCATGGGGCGTAGGAAACTTGTGGATACTCCATGGTTATAATAAAGAAACGTTAGTCACAAAAACAGATAAAACAGACACCCCTCGTTGTGTTTATGCTTCTTTTTAAAATTATATTAAATAAACATAACTATATATAAAATTACATCTAAACGTATAGCCTACGTTTCGTTTCAAAGACGGGAGGACAGTAAATTTTGAAGACTCTGCCATTATCCCGTTTTTCTCGGTTTTCCTCTGCTTAAATCTCCACAACCGGAAATGGACGAGCATCCTTGCGTCAAATGCGGAACTTATGCGTGCATATAGCCCATTGGTTTTATGCACAGCTTCACTACTTCCTGAATTTCAGTCAGCTCCTTCTTTCCTGTCTGCCATTATTGGACACATTGATTAGCCTAATTCAGGTGTGCTTGACCTCAGTAGTCACGATAACAATAATCAGACACACCTGAATTAATCAATTTTGCCCAATAATGGCAGACAGGAAACAAGGAGCTGGCTTAAGTTCAGGAAGTAGTGCAGCTGTGCATAAAACCCATGGTCATTTGGTAATTATGTGAGCTATTATCTACGCGTTAGGAATTAAAGAGAACCATCACATCTGAAAGACACAATAATTGTAAACTTGAATGTAAGTGTTTCTAACTTATTGTGAAGCTGCAGACTCGGAACCTGCATCTACAATTCACATGTTCCGAGTGTCTTCGAGTGAACAACCCAGACTTAAACAATGTTACAACATTATCTAAAAAAAGTATCTGTCTCTTCTGTTAGTATCTCTCTCAGAGAAATTGTTGATCATCAAAAACCTTCCTTCTGCTTTCTTGATGTTCTTTCTCCCCTTATCTTGAAACAAACTTTTGATTCAATCGGAACATGTGAATAAAGGGACTATCCCTGATATACTAAAACAAGCTACTGTTACAGATCTTCTCAAAAAACCTTCACTTGATGATAGGGATTTGAATCATTTTCGATGTATCAACCACAGTTTTTTTCTTTGCTTAAATCAAATGCTTTAAACTTTCCAGTCCGGTTTTAAGCTTCATCTGCACAGCACAGAGTCTGCTTTATTAAGGGCTGGTGACTCTGATTCTAATACTGTCAGACTTAACTACAGCCTATACAGTTGGTCATAAAACTCTCTAATCCTGACTAGAATATTTTGTGGGCATCCAGGGAACTGTTCTTAGTTGGTTTAGAATAGATTGTATCTAACAAATCGTGAGCTTAGAATTATAAGGTTCTATCTCCGTTTAGGGTAGTTCTGAGATATTGAGCATCAAAGTTTTTACATCCCAGCTGGCAAAACTGTTGTGTAGAATAATTTTCTATTATAGCTTTATCTATTAATCTTTTTTTACAAAAATAACACCACACAGGCATTAATAAACACCTAATGGATCAGATTATGTCAAAAACTCAATTTCGACCAAAAGTGGAGATAGAACCTTATAATTCTAAGCTCACGAAATAGAAGTTTCTCTGTCAAACTGGGCAATTTTTCTTCCTTGCCAGCCCAACTCTCCTGTGGAGTGCCACAGGGGTCTATTCTTGCACCCATTCTTTTTTCCATGTATTTACTTCCTCTGGGCTCCATTTTCAGAAAGCATGGTGTATCCTTTCACTGCTATGCTCTGAAATCTCTTTTTGAATGCCTAGTAGAAGTAAAAATATGGTTTTCCCAAAATGTCTTATTTTTTAATGAATCCAAAAACCGAGATTATAGTTTTTGGCCCCCATGACAACTATAATAGCAGTAACATTGATCTGGATTATCTCTATCTAACTTCATCTTGCATTAAGAATTGAGGTGTTCTCTGGGATCAGAACCTCAAATTTGAAAAACAAATAAATGCAGTGATTACTTCTTGTTTTTTCCAGCTACGTCTTCTCTCTAAGATCAAATCCCCTCTTTCTGAGAAAACCTAGAGATTGCTGTTCATGCACTCATTACATCACGGTTGGATTATTGCAACTCTCTTTACTATGGCATACCAAAACACTCCATTGCTCATCTCCAATTAGTACAGAATGCTGCTGCAAAAGTTCCCCAAAAGAAAACGTAAATGTGATCATGTTTCACCTTAAAATACCTGCATTGGCTACCTGTGCATTTTAGAATAGAGTTTAAAATTCTTCTCTTTGTTTTTAAATCCGTAAATAATCTGGCACAGAGCTATTTGTCTGAGCTACTCTGTCCACACAATCTCGCATGAAACCTGAGGTCTGGTGATCAGAGACTTTTGCAATTGCTGGCCCTAGGCTGTGGAAAAGCCTGGTTTACATCAGAGCTGTTCATTTTCTTACTGTTTTTAAATTCTCTCTTAAAGCCCTTTTTTTTCTTTAGCCTTTAATTCGTTGTGAGCTTTTATCATGCACTCTAAAAAATGCTGGGTTGTTTTAACCCAATTTTGGGTCAAATATGGACAAACCCGAAATGTTGGGTTAAAAATGTAATGTAAAAATTTAACCCAACGGCTGGGTTAGTCCATATTTGACCCAAAGTTGGGTTAAAACAACCCAGCATTTTTTAGAGTGTGTGTGGTTTGTCCTTGTTCTTCATCTTGTGTAATGCTCAGCACTTTGGTCAGCCCTCTTTGCTGTTTTTAAATGTGCTAAATAATATAAATAAATACAAACTTGGAACATAATGTATCATGTGCCATTTTCAGTGATCCTGTTCTTAAATATCCAAAGTATGGCAAAAAAGGTATATAGGCCTGCCTCAGCTGACCCAAACTGTCCATTTAAAATGTCAGTATTCTTTTGTTTATTTTAATATCTCTATTTAAAATGTGGAAATTTTTATATTAAAGAGAGAGAAAAAAGAACAGCACATTACAACGTTTCCTTCCTAATTTCATTTCCTCTTGCTCTAAAATAAACGGAACAAAACAGAATGCATATTATCTCCGTTTTAATTTTAATGTTGAGAAGTGGGTTTTTTTGCAAATATCAAGGTGAGTTTTACAAACCTGAATCTAAATTTAAAAAAGGTTGTTGTTGTTTTTTAAAAGTTTCATAATTTTTTGCTTTCTTTTGAATAAGTTGATTTTGTCCGGAAAGTTGAACAGGATGTTGAGTTTTATAAACCTGCAATTTTTATTTTAATAATACTCTGTGTTTGTAACATGATTATGCTTACATAAACATAGCCAGGTAGAAAATGTATTGTATTGTTATTTAACATGTGAGTAAACATTATGCTTGTGACTATAATGATGTGATTGATTAACCCTATATCCAACCCTAATTTCTTTAAAAGTTCTACGTGGCGTTGATGTGTCTTTGCGATGTGAGGTGTCTTTCCTGTCTGAATCCTCAACATTGCAGTGGGAGAGAGATGGAGAACAAACATCCAACACCACTTTACTGTACAACAACTCTGCCTACATCATCTTACACACCGTTGATGAACACAATCAGGGCAAATATTACTGTAGATTGATGGAAGATGGAAGAGCTACAACGGTTAGGATTCACACACTTAATGTCAGTTCACGTAAGTATATATTTTTTATATTAAATCTGTGCCTAAATAATAATATTTTCATTAAGAATATTAAGTTAAACATGCAGATGTAATCTTTTTAGTAAATTAAAGCTTTTTAAATAAAAAAATACAGAGATGTATTCACTGAAATTCACCATTTTACCTATTGTCTTTCCAGATTCATATAATGGAAATAATAAAATTAATACCATTTACAGACAAAGCTCTAGTAATAGTGACGTATCACTGATCTGCAAGACTAAAAAGGAATACAATAGATGGAAGTGGACCTGGGAGCAGAGGCCTAATTCACAGACTGATCTGATAGCAGTTGAAAATGGAAGAGAAGTTCAAGTAAACGGACCGATTAAACCAGGAAGACTTTCTTCAACCACATACAATAGTCGAGTTTTTATCTTTCACATCTCACCTGTGAACTTCAATTCTAGTGGGACATACAGGTGTATTACAGATGAACAAAAACATCCCTATACAACCACAATGCTTCACACCATCAGAGGTTTGCAAATATCAATCAATCAATACAAATAAATACATTGATTTTTCAGCAAAATTTTGCTCATCAGTTCATTTGTTCAGTGCATTTAAAGGGATATTCCACCGTTTTCACATTAAACTATGCTATTCCCTTAACTAAGACAAGTTGATACATACCTCTCTCGTCTTATATACCTCGTGTCACGCGAGACACTTGATAGCACTTAACTAGCCCAGTTCATTCAATATGGGCCAAGCAGAGAAGCGACTAAACACCTCCACGTTTTCCATAATTAAATACAGTTACACAAGTAGAGTAATTCGACCGAGAATTCTGACACAAAATAAAACTTTGCACTTTTCTAAGCGTGTAAAGTGGATACCTACCAATCACTCGCTGTGGTATTCTGCCATACATTATAATTATACATTTTACACGCCAGAGCGACTGAGTGCACGCACTGAGATGAGAGAGGTATGTATCAACTCCTCTTAGTTAAGAAAATAACTTAGTTTAATATGAAAAAACGGTGGAGTATCACTTTAAAAAGTCATTGACAGTGTTGTTGTTGATTTCAGTCTCAGTGGAGCACCCTGATGGTTTGTTGAGGAATCGGTCATTGATTCTCACCTGTGAAGTTTCTGAAGTGACTGATTCACTGATGCTGGTCTGTCTCAGGATGGAGAGGAACAGAGGAGTGCTGGGAAAACAGCAAATTATGACTGAGAAAAACAACAAGTTACAACTCACAGTGAATCTGTCCAGCTATGAAACAGATCCTCTGCACTGGCAGTGTGCAGTTTTTACTGAGGATACACTCAGAGCTCTGGCTCCTATAACAATCAGTCTTTCCTCATCTACTACTAATGCTCCAAACCAAAGTAATATCTTTTAACCATTACTTTACAGTATTTTTTCACCCTTAACTCAGAATTAGATTGTATATTTTAAGCTTATACAAATAGTGAATTGTGTGTAGTCATGACGCTGAGAAGTGTTGGTGTATTATCTGACTCCACATGTTTCTGCAGAAGATATCATGACACAGGAAAGTCATCTACAGATCGTGATCATCGTGGTGTGTGCTGGCACTGGCACTGTGCTGATTCTGCTGCTGGGACTTCTAGTTTTTAAACGTCAGCGAAAAACAGGTGAGCTGATCTCAGAGACAGTATGAGGAGGAGAAGGAGACTTTTAGTGTGGCAGTTGAATAATTGTTGTGACTTTCAGTTACAAAAGCGAATTGCCTTTTTAAAGAGACATTAGCCTGTTTGTTTAAGCCTTTGTGCATGCTTATTAGCTCGATAAGCCTGAAAGAAACAGATTTTATTACAGTGAATGTTTAAATATAAATTTAATCCCTGTTTTAAAATGTTTTGCATGTTTTATGTGTCTATGTCCACTGTCCATGTTTATAATGCATGTTTTCATGATTGCAATGAGATTTGAAATGAGGGATACAGTATTGTCGTATTGTTTCGATAGATGAAGTTCATGTCACTGGATTAAAATCACAAGAAGATGAGGACATCCATTATGCTTCAGTGACGTTAGCAGGATCTAGTCAGGGTGTTCATTAACCTCTGTGTGTTCTTTATAGTGTGTTAAATCTATGACTTTGATTCATTTTCCAGGAGATGACAGCTGGTTTAAAACCGATCATGCAAGTTCAGAGGTCAGCTATGAAACCCCCTTTTTCATAATTATTTCAGAACATCATTTTGATTTGCTAATGGTGTTATATATATATATATATATATATATATATGTTTGTGATTTATGTATAGTTAATACACTCTTTAAGCTTGTATATCTCAATATCTACAGGTGTTGGAGATGAATTCTACAGTAATCTACTCAACTGTTAAAGCACAGTGAGCACTCGCGCTTGACATGAATGTATATAGAACTTTTTTCCATTCATGTATAATTAAATTGAAATGAAAACACCATATAATCCTGTATTAATAATAGATTTCTAGTCATTCATTATTTTGGTATATACAAATAAATTAAGTATTTACAGTATATTCAAGTGCGTTTTGGGTTTGCTCTATCTGTCAATAGGTTTTTAGGTTTCATTTGCATTGGGAAAACAAAAATATAACACCAAATCTCTAATTGTCGATCAATCTGTTTGCATGCCAGAGTGAAACCTCATTGTGGTTTCATAACATGCAACCGTGTTAAATATAGCACAGTACTTCCTGTGGTGGAAAACTACAACAGATGTTTCTACTAGCCAAGTCAGATAAAAAATAATAATTGTGTGTTTGTATATATATATATATATATATATATATATATATATATATATGTGTGTGTGTGTGTGTGTGTGTGTGTGTGTGTGTGTGTCTAACCTTGAGCATAGGTTAGCATGACTGTGTTGGGCTGGGCTGATCCATGTAAATTGCATTGTTTTAGGCTGTGTCACTCTCCATTTTAAAATCAAATACTGCACAACCATAGCCAGTGACCTACTTCATCACTTTAATAATCAATAATTTTCCCTGTAAACCTAAAAAATAAAATCATCACCCCTGCAAAATGAGAATTTCCATGTGAATACAAAATAGTGTCTCCCCATTGTCGCTTCCAGAATTTTGAATCGTCCATGTGTCTCTTGGTTTTGACTTCCTTATACAAAATAAAAAAGGCCTTCCGCTTTCAGTTATTCTTTGAACCTCGAACATTTAAAGAGCTAAAAACAATAGACATAGGAATGAAACAAAATACACGCTCTTAAATTCACTTAGGATTTAAGGCAGGAATTAACAATCCGTCATAGAATTCAACTTTGTAGTAACAGTCCCCTTCAAACTTTCTGAATCAAGGTTATGACACTATAGGTGAAAGGTACCTTCACTCTTTTCCCGTCTATAATAGCATACACTTGCTTTAAGTAAGCTTTCTTCCCATTGCGTCTGGCCTCCATACCGTCGGATACAGCTTTGCCCAGGCTTCACGGTCTTCTTTTGACCAGTCCTGTCTGAATTGGACATGGAGCTCCTTGCAACTCTGGCCTCCCTCGACCTCCTCCAGATCTCATCCCTCGTCGTCTGCATGCCAAACTGCATGATGGTCGGGATCATCTTTCTTTCCCAGACGATAGACAGTATCAACCTTGTCTCACATCCAACAACATCGGAATCACTCTTGTGAGAATTGAGTAAAACCCTTTCTCTTGTATCCTCGTTTTACTTCTCCGGTAGCCCAGTCAATTTGAGATTCCATCGTCGCTTGATTTCCCTGCATCTTTGCTTCAACTGCTTGTTCTCTTTTGAGTTGAATTATTGCATTTTTATTTTCTGTCACCTCTTTTTGATTATTTTGGATGTGTTGATCAAAGTTTTAAAACTTTCTTTGGAACGCATCAGTCTTTCCTTAAATCTCTGTGACAGAGTGTGAATAGCATAATTCACTTTCCATGCTTACTTCTCTTGATTCATCTCTCCTCTTCAGTTTCTTTGGATTTGCACTCTTTAATTGGAGTTTGATTGCTCTGAGGTTTTGCCATCTGCACCTCTTCAACAAATTCGTCAAAACATGCCTCACGCATCTTGTCCACACTGTAGTCATGTTCATTGAGGTTAGCTTGGTCCTGGGTGTTAGTCTGTTAGACATTTTTTTCTGTGTGTGTTATTTAGTGCATCTTTTCAAAAAGTGTCTCACAATAGTCTTTTAAGAGTGATGTCTACCTCACCATGACTTGAGGGATGACTGTTGTTCTAAATGAACTGTTTTGGGTGTCAAAATCACTTTTTCTGTCAGACCCCGCAACTTTTACAACTGCTCACTTCGCTATCTTGGGATTAAAATGTACAAAATATATTCAGCCTAGTGGAGTTGGTAAGTAATAATAGTAGTAAATGTGTAAGGTTGCATTCAATGGAAATACTCACTAATGCAAGAAAAAAAAAAAAAAAAAACTACCTAAAAAAACAGTTCTTGGAATTTTCACCCCAAAAATGGCGGCCGTGCTACCGAAGCGCCACCTAGTGGCTGTTACAAAAAAAGCATCAGAGTTTCACCTCTGGTTCTTCTATTTGACAATCCTGTTCAGTTGGGCTGAAGTCTCTGGGCCAGCAGGTGGAGCCAGAGCTCTTCAGCACCTACATGAGTGATACTCCGATTTGAGTCGTCTAGCTTCAGTGCAAGCTCTGAAACTATTTTTTTTTTTGCCTTATATTTAAGGAAGTTAGTTTGAAAACAATTGTATTTGTTTAAAAAATGACAGCATCATAAATAAATGCAGATTACATCTTTAAACTAATGCCCCTAATGCAGTCTATAGCCTACAGCACGTTTAGGCTATTTTAGGCTACTCATAACTCCAACAGAAAAGATGAAAGTAGATGATTCCTGGTCATGATATGAAATCACAGATGCACAAAGTGCTCAGTTGCTCAAAATTATAAAATTGAAATAGACGGCAATCAATAATAGACGGCAATTAAATTTAGTATAAATGGCACATATGATTACTTGCAGCAACAAGTACACATTAAATCAAGGCAGTGTGCACTTAATCATTGTCGATGACAACTTAAATCGTTTAAATCCCTGTACAAACTTATAGCCTAAGCTAATATATTTTTGGACATTAAAGGTGCCATATGTAATAATTGAGGTAAAAATATCCAAAAAATGAGCTACAAGCATCAAAAGAATGAGAAGAAATAAGTGCAATGATGTAATTAAAAAACTGACAAGTTATAGTGCTGCCGAGATATAAACCTAAATTAGCATGCTAAATTACTAGCCCCGGCCCGGCAGGTGTCGTAATACCAGTTCCGGCCATGGGAGGCGGTATGCGGGCGGGCAACGTTACCACCAGCCAAACTGCAATAGACGAGTGAGTCGCGCTCGCGCCGGCTTGTGTGTACTTGAACCTGATGTCAGTCGTGTGGAAATACAGCCCACTACTACATTTCAGTTCAGGGAAGAGTTCAAAAAATGATTGGTCGACATTATCCATGAGGAATACATTTTGGTAAGTTGTAGCATTCTGTATCTTTCAACAGTGTTCGTGTTCTTTCCATTAGCCAGTAGAGATGATCGGTTCACGTGCGCTAGGGATCTGTCGTCTAACATTTACAAGCGCCGAAACGGTTATTGTTTGAATTGCATAATAAAATTGACAGAATCTGAGAGCTTAACTAACCTGCTTGCTAAGTGTTAATTGCGTGTGTCTCACGATGAATTTGTGAGAGTTGGCAGCTCTGAATGGCGCTAGGTTGATCAACATCAGCGAATGCTGTCTGTCAAATTTATTCAAACTAACAATAAAAGTGTAATATGAACAAAACGAATACCGTAAACTTAAAATAATAGCCCGCAGGCTTTTATTTTCCCATATCGTCGAAATGCACCAGCTTGTTTTTGAGACAGGCGTCTATGAGACGGTCTTCATCATTTAGTGTTGAGATGTTGTTCATTGAGTCTCTGATATCGAAAAATCTCCAAATGCTCCACGTGAAACTGCGGTCTTCCGACCTTTTACTATCGTGTCAATTGATTTGAATAATATGCGGAGAAAGAGAGCAAAACAGAGCTCGCTTGTGTTGTTTGAAGACGTGAGTGCGCGCGGCCGCGGCACAACACATTTTCTGGAGGTATACTGCCCCCATCTGTTATGGAATATGGAATATTTTTTGATTTTTAGTTCCAGATGGCACCTTTAATGTTACAGGATTGAAAGTTTAATTGGCTATTTTTATGAATGTTTTTTGTAGCTACAATAGGCTACTACTCAAAGCCTGTTCTCTTTATCAGAGCTTATTGTTTTGGCAAATCCCCCTTATTTACATTTTGATGGATCAAAATCGTGGGGACTGCTCTTCTTATGATATTTCATCTGGACGCGTCATTCCATCTTTTGATTCGATGCAAGGCTTTGGAAAATCTGTGTATTTATTAGGCCTATATATTAGGCTACATTTGAACAGTAGGACCTATGTGTTTTTGCAGTAGTAAAATTGAAAATGAGCACGATTCCCTTTGGCCATAGCCTATTGTCGCTAAATGTTTTCCTTAATTTTTCCCCAGTGTGAACGGCAGATTGTGTGTAACAGTGCCTAATTTGGCTAATGAATTATGTTCATGTTTGTTATTAGCCAGCATAAGTTGATGATCCTTGGGGGAGGTGGCTTCGCGTTCACAGTTGCCACAGCACACAGCTCCTTTATCTTTTACTTGTATGCCTGACGCGCGCTCGAGCGCACAGCCCGTCTGTCCACGAGCGAATTTAGCGAGAACTAATGAGAGCGCACGCTTCAACTCACCGAGACCCATTTCAGTTGTTCGTTTGAGCATTATTCGGAACCAAAACAGTACTTTATAAAACACGGGCTATGGTGACCGAGAGGACTTCAGTGGAGATTAAGCTTTGAATGAACTGTCAGCAAAATGACCTGCCAAGGGCGCAGATGTGTCGAGCTGTGAGCGAGTAGTGCCGTTTACTCAAGAAACTTCTGTTTGCTTTGACTTACATTGAAACGTCATGGCAGTGTCGTGGAGACACGCGCTTTTCTTCTTGGTAGTTGGTAAGTTATCCTGGGTTTGTCCTTTTCATGTCTGCATTTCAACCTATGATGTAAGTTTTTAATTCATACTGACTGTAAAATACAAAAAAAATACAAAAAAAGAAAGCTAGAACAAATCAGAACGAAACCATTCATGTCTGTAACTGTAAGGCTTCGAATCTCAAATCCGATGTGGTTTTGCAGTGGTTTTGTATGCTGGTCGGTTTCAATCAAATTCAAACCATATTAACATAATAATGAATTCTGTTAACTAGTGAACATACTAGCATACAGTGTATTTAGGCTAAGAATCAATAATAAATGCTGGTTTTGGGAAGGGAATTGTATTTTAGGTCAGTTATTAGGGCAACTGCTTATATCCGCTTATATTAAAGCTAGCTTATATTATAATAGCTATATTTTATGTAAATAAATTGCATTATTAATTAATTATTTGCTGGCCAAACAGGTTTACTATTTTTATAAGTAACCCTTTACACTTTAAAAACGTGGACTATTTTTTTTTTTACATAGAACACATGCCTTTAGTCTTTTTCACAATACACAGAGGTTGGACATTTTCATGAAAGTGAAAAATCCATAAGTGACAAGCACACCCATGTATGGTTCAATTATCTACTTTTCTAATTAATAATGCATGGCAACCTCCTTCTGTTGGAAAGAATTTATTTCACACTTACCTTAACAAGCTCACTAAGCTGTGCTGAGCATGACTAACAAGCTGCTCTTTGCTTGGCTTGATTTCCTGTCACTATTCAATTGGGATTCATCATGACATACATTTTGTCTCTAAAGATTTTTAATGCAAATTTGAGCGATTCATTGTTGTGAACTGACCTGACTCTCAGTCAAGTAATGCAAGTATGTGACTCTTTCTTGTTTGTGACAGTGAAACAGATACTGTATCTGGCTCTTTGTCTGCTGAGGGAAAAAGAGCATGCTGATTCGCACAAGACAATGGCTTTAAGCTCATGATACAAGTATGCAATCAGTCTGTAGAAATATGTAACTCTTGAATAAACACTTCTGCTCCAGTTAAGCCTGCTGCAGTGAGTGCCGTACAAAATTATGTAGATTTAGCAGAATCTTCTTACTTTGAAACAGTGTGAGAAAGCGATGAAGTGAACTCAGGAGGAGTGTATGTTAGCACGGACTCTGATGTTAACTATTCTCTGAAATAAAGCCTAAACGAAAGTACACAGTCTACACAGAGAGTAGTACACAGAAAGTACAAGTATGTGAAGTTTTTTTTTTTTTTTTTTTTTTTTTTTTTTTTTGCATGGCACTACTTTACTTTTCATTTAGCTTTTATTTCCTGTCTCCTGTTTATCTGCCTTTCCTTCCTTTTCTTTTTTCCCTTCCTTTTTATTTTTTTCTTCTTTCCTTCCCTTTGACCTTCCCTTTCCTTTCCTTCGTCTTTTCCTTTCCTTTCCTTCGTCTTTTCCTTTCCTTTCCTTAGTCCTTTCCTTTCCTTTCCTTTTGGCTTTCATTTCATGTCTTTTCATATGTCCATCTTGTTACACAGATGCACTAGGGGAGCCTGAGAAGTCCCAGAATATTGATGGCATCATAACGGTTCACTACTGGCGCAGAGAAAAAGGTGGCTTTATGCTGTTGCGAGCTGAGAGATAAATGTGAAGTGCACATTTTAAAATTCGAACAAAGCTTGCACTGTGTTCCAGGCCAGAATGTATTTATCTTTTGAGACCCACTGAGATGCATTGCCCTCATATATCTGACAATTGAAAGTCTACCACAGATAAAAACACCACAAAGAGTTAAGAACACTTCAGAATGAAGGGGAGCTCAGGGATGTGTACACTACAGTTCTCTAAATACAGATTAACACGGTGCATTTCTCTGATTGAGGTGAATAACCTGATGGCGGTGGGCGGGGAGATCTGGACAGCCTTAACAAGTGAAGATGAATATATGGCTGCTCTATTTCTTTGCGCTTGTCAGGACCGCTTTGTATGTAATTTCCAATGTACTGCAGTTCAACCTTTTGTAATAATTCAGTTCAGTAGGTATTGAATCCAAGTGCATTAGTAAGCATTGTGTGCAAGGAATTTAATGGTAAATTATAATTGTTAAGGAATTCGTCTTAGCATGGATTGTTTTAAATTGCATCCAGAGGTTGCTGGAATAAACTAAGCATGCTCGATTGTGTAGAATGGCTGCTGACGCTGAAAACAACAAATTCATCTATATTTCAAATTAGAGCTGACAGTCATGTAGGATATACTAAAGACATCTCAACGACTAGCCTTAAGTAACTGTGCAAAAGTGGATTAATTTAATCAGGATGCATTTTTCATTCTCTATGTTTGTCATTGTCTCAAAATATTAGTTAGCCACGTGAGCTCTGATATTTACCATCCAATCTGAAAGAAGTTACTTTTATGCTGTTCATAAACCTAGATTACCCTTTGAGTTGTGGGAGATATGGGAGATGTGAATACAAAAGTACAGTTATAAGGCCTGTTCACACCAAGGACGATAAACATGACAATAAAGATGTAGTTCTACAAATCATTCTAAATTTTAAAGAATTGCAGAACCCACACCACACCTATAGTGATAACGGCACGGAGGAATTATGTTGTTCAAATCACTTTCAGAACGATTTTTTTTTTCCCAGCACATGAATAATAAAAACATTGAACGGTAATCAGAATCCATCCTGCTTTAAAGAGCTTGAGCATTTAAAGCAACAGACAACCAAAACTGCAGTGCATGGTTATAAACAGAATAGTATTGGTCGCTGCTGTGAACGCTAATATACTTATTGCTACAGTTATCTTTAGTTAAAAGGGTTAGTTCACCCAAAAATGAAAATTCTGTCAGTATTTACTCACCAACACAGCTCATAATTAGGTTTTAATAAGAAATGTTTGACATTTCATTGCTGACTTTGGTATCTTGACAAATCTGAGCGTAGACAGAGATATCTTCTGAAACTTTATAAGACACACATTTGACACATTAGGGTCTGGATCTGGTAAAGGGTCTCAATTTAATCGCTGTCTTGGAGAAGCATTGGAGATTTTTCTTTTTCAACAGAATAACATGAGACTTAGCTCTTGGCTGCTGATCATATAAATAAAAACAGGCTATTTGTGTGCCAGCCCTGCCCTTTGAGGCTCACTTCTGTGGATTTGTCTTGCTACAAAATGAAAGCGTCGCTCTGTTTAATGCATTAAGAAATGGGCTGAAAAATGCAGTTAATATTTGATGCCTAACTTTGTCTTGTGATGTCAGCAGGGAATAGGCATGCTGAAATTTGCAGATCTCTGCATCGCTGCTGGATGGGTTGGAACTCCTGCATTAGCTGATTATTCATTATGCAGATTGAGTCACCCTATAAACTGCGTTGCGTCATACAATGGTATACATTAGTTTTAAAGGAAAACGAGGTGGATTGATTCTTCTGCTCATTGACATGCTTGAGATTAAAGCCACAAAAGGGCCCCTCTTATCAAGCAGGGGACAGACAACCTGGCATTGACCCTGAATGTAGCATAATGTGCTGTGAAGAATCATTCCCGAGTCTTTGGTTTGATTGTCGAAAGAGACTCTTAAAGCAGCACTGGACCCCATACAGTGTTTTTAAGACCTCTCTGACAGCAGGAGCTCAAGAAACAAGATCTTTCCCGGCCCCCGAGTGAGCAGAGGCATCTAAACCACAACTACTTAGAGTTGTGAACCAACACTTGAGGCAACAAAAGCATTCATTTAATTTCCCTTTAGATTTGACATGGAAAGCTCAGTGTTAAGATACTTTAGCAGCTTTAAACACCCCCTATTATTAATTATCCCTATCCCTAGCATTCATATCTTTAAAAAGAATATAATTAAAGAATAAAAAAAAAAAAGCCAAACAAAAAAATTGCATTGGATGACTACTGGGACTCTTCACAAGATCACTCATTTAACAGAGTAGGGAACATAGATGTTCCATTGAATGACGACGAATGGGGGTTTCGCTTAGAAAGCCTATCAACTTCGAGTCTTACTAAACGAGCCAATGGCAAAGAAATGCCATGGGACTGCGGAATTTGCATGGTGCAACTCCGCCCCACGAGGGTTAATCACGCCACCTTCACAGCTGTCTTCCAGTGCCCTGCGTAAATCTTAGATCCCTGTCGTGAGGCTAGCACGGACGAAGGACTCTTATTCCAACAGAGTGTTCCACCATGGGGACCCCAGTGTACCCTTTGGCAGCGGCCTGATCGAGGGGAGGAAAGGCGGAGGCTCCGACGAGAGTCAGTGGCTGCTCCCAAAAAACAATCATCAAGCCGCGAGCGCTCGGGACATGGTGGAGGGTTCCACTCTAACCCAATGCTCACGGCCACCCAGGAGAGCATGGCGGCCTTCTCGGGATCTGACACAGCCGAGTCATCATCTCCCGATGATTCCTGCCCACCTTGTGATGCTGTGATTGACATTGCATCCTCCTCTGGAGCGCCAAATGACACCCGCGGCCCACATGTGACCGGGAAGACCGTGGAACATCATCCGGACGGCTCACGGGTTGCCATACTGGAGAGGGGGATGTGGCCCGAGGACAAGTCGTCGGTTGGTTGTGCCACACCGTCACCCACAGGTCAGGTGTGACACCGTCACCCTCAGGAAGAAGATCTCAGAATGGCTTAGGGAGTGAAGCATACACTTGGCTCAGAAGTAAAAAACATATCTGCATATTGCCGGCGTTCTCCTTTTACACCCACAAGGTGGGGCGGAGTTGTGCCATGCAAATTCCGCAGACCCATGGCATTTCTTTGCCATTGGCTCGTTTTGAAAGACTCAAAGTTGATAGGCATTCTAAGTGAAACCCCCATTCGTCGTCATCCGAGGGAACAAAGTGTGTTGTGTATTATGCACATTATTGTCTCTAACCTTTGAATAGCAAATTATCATAAATATGTACATGAGGCACATAAATCTGGCACCACCAACCATGCCACTCTCAAAATTGCTTAAATCACCTTTCTTTCCCA